CATGAGTTAATTGCAAGGAAGTGTCTCTGGCACACCCACGCTCGGGAGAATGGCCGCCAGCCGGCCACGGGCCAGAGCCCCACGCGGCCTGCTCCTTCCCAGTTTGTCAGGCCAAGGACGGCAGGGTCTTCACCATGGCATCACACGAAGGGTTGGAAAGGTGGCACTGCAGTGGGTAAACAGGGATGCCCACGGGTTGTGCACTGGTCACCGCACCTGGCGTCTTGTGTCCGAAACTCCCCCCACCCATGAAGTGTCTGGACTGGGAGACCCCCAAGAAGGTGGGGAGGTTTGCTGCATGGACGATGCAAAGAGGGTCTTCGTGACAAACTTGAGTTTTCAACACCAAAGTCAGAAAACCTTGAAGAAGGAGAAAAGGAGAAAAGGGTACTGGAATAGAAATGAGCAGGGAAGAGTGAACTGGAGAAGCATTTTATGGGTCTCCGCGTGAGCTCAGTGAGTCGAGGGCATGGCAGAGGGGCAGGAAGGCAGAGAGGGAAAATGGGCATTTGCAGGGTGGGGGTGCTCAGGTAGACGTTCAGACTAGGTGCTGATACTCAAAGGAGGGAAATATCCCCCACGCCAACAACTGCTCCCAGAACTGCAGAATGTCAAAGGTGAAGAGAAAACCCTGGGCTGGCCTGAGGAATGAGATGTCTACCTAGGCCGGAGTCTAGGCAGGATAGGGCCTGATTCCCTAGCTAGAACTGAGGCAGGAGGGAGTGACAGAACAGCGCCAGGCGACGAGAGGAGACAGCTGTCAGCCAAGAGTTCCATCCCCAGCCAAACTGTCTCCTCCACACTCACATCAAGGACGGGTTCCACCAAAGTCTCCGCGGAAGGCACCAGCCCACGGCACTCTCTGCAAAGCCTCGTGCCTGGCCTGTGTCTGTGGGTGACGCTTTGTTAAACCTCGGCTGGACATGCAGGTCCACGGGTGTCAGAAGTGGCACAGCAGAGCAGCAACATCGGATCACAGTAAGCCCCGAGCCAGAAACAGCCCCTAGCAGCCCTGGAGAGAGTACCATGGGCAGGGTGCGTGCCTTGCTTGTGGCTGACCCAGGGTCAGTCCCTGTTATCACATAGGGCCCCCTCCACCCCAAGATCCCGGAGCACAGAACCAGGAGTAATCCCTGAGTGCTGCTGGGCTTGGTCCCCAAGGGAAAACAAACAAGCAAACAAAAATATCCACTCCCCTGCTCTTGACAGAAAAGGACACCCAATCCCTGCCATGTGGGACACAGCGTCAGCGTAAGGATCTTTTCATTAGGGTTCCTCGACAAGGCCCGGCGTGCGTGTGGGCCAGGCTGGGTGTTAGACGTAGCTGAGAGTCAGTGCCTTGTCTGTGCCTCTGGGGTGGGAACGTATTCGACGTGGCCGCTCACTCTTCCCGAGAACTAGGAGCTCGATCTGTCTGATCCTCGTTGTCCTTCGCTGTATTTTTAAGGCTTTGAGAGTTTAAAAGGTGGGTCTCCGCCTCCCCTCTGTAGTGTTCCGGGTCTGCAACATTACCGGGCACTCCTCTGAGACGGAAGCCACCGGGTGGGCTTCCCACCGCGGTCTGTGGAACAGGAGGCACCGAAGGTGGCAACGGGCCGAGACCACCAGCCCGGAGACGGCTCTGGGGGCGGCTGTGTCCGAAGGAGCGGGGCTTTCTCGTCCTCTCCACCCTCCACCCCTGCCTCTCTCTCTTCCCTCCTGACTTTGACTTATGGAGTAGAGCCCGTTGGCCACAGAGAGGGACCGATGCGGAGGGACCCAATATCCTGAGTGGCTTTGATCTCCTTCAACTGGAGAAGGCCCAAGAGCCTCTTATTTTAATTAAAGTCCTTTTGGAGGAGGATTTGACGCTGACGAACTGACCGGGCGGGCGCTGATCTATTCTGCAGGTTGTGATACGACGCCAAGGGAGACTGCGGGTGGGCTCTGAGCCCAGAGAGAGGGTCGAGCCCCAGGAAGCTGGGGGGAACCAAGGGGGGCCCTGGGGGACGCCATGGGCCAGGCCAGGAGTTTCAACAGCAAACACGGGGTCCCTGGTTCATGGAGGCAGCGGAAGTGCGCCAGCGTCTCTGAGCACGGCCTGGCCTTTCCGGCCCAGGAGAAGCTGCCGAATCCCCAGCACCAGACCTCAGGGGGGTCCAGCCTGCCTCTCCCGGCTTACATATGCAGCATTAAGGAATCGGGGTGGGGGCGGGGTGGGGTCCCCTGGGGCAGGGCCAGAGCCCAATAGACCGGTGCAGTTGGGGCACTTTGCTGGGGTGCCCAAGGTCCCTGGCCTCAGGAGGGAAACTGCATCACCTAGGAAGGTGAGGGCCCTGCCTGCCGGGGGAGGGGGCCGGCTCCCGCCCCAGATTCCTCTCTCGAGCCGCCTTGAAGGCTTTTTCTTCCTCAGATGTCCCCAAATCCTGCTTCTTCCTTAACATTCATGCCGCCCCTCGCGCGCGACTCGCTCCGTAATTGACTCGGGATGGATTCTGCTCCCGACTCTATCTCGCGGCCTCTCCAGAGGTCCATGAACGCCGATATGAAACCACACACCTCACCGCCCGCCGGGGGAAGCAGCCACAAATCACAGCGAGCGAGATGGGGGGTTCTTTATTATGCGTTTGACAGTCAGTATCTTGTGTCCAGGATGAAGGAAGGAAGGGTCTCGGAGACAGAGCTCGACGGTGCATACGCGTTTTTTTTTAAAATGCAATTCAAGCTCGAAGGAATAGGAGTTTGGATTCAGAATGCTATTTAAGATCTCTCTCTCCCGCCATACAGGGGCGGCGTGTGGGCAGCTCTGCAGAGAGCAGTGGGAGTGCAGAACTTTCACAATAAATAATCGCTTCTCTAAACCGTCCGTGAAGCTGCCAGCAGAGAAGCCCCCGCCCCGGCCCTGGTGGGGTCAGACTCACTCCGCAGCGCCCAGAACCGAGGCCCCACAGCCGAGCCCGGGGGCTGGTGTTTCCTGTCCACGCCGCCCGCCCTCCCGACTCAGGCCATAGCACCTCAGGCTTGTGCATCCTGGGGGGCAGGGGCGGGCGGGGGGAGAGACAGCCCCCCTCCACTCAGCCCAAGGAGCCCCTTCCACACCCAAACTGCAGCTCCTGGAGGGAGGCCGGGGCCTCAGAACCCCCAGGCGTTGCCAATATATCGATAAATAGGAATTTACAGCATTTACAAAGAGCCTCTTTGCGTGACTTATTTGGGGGCCCAAGACCGCACAGATTCCCAAAAGCGAATATTCGCCGGATAGCCTGGACACGGGAACCAGGCCGCGGGGGCCAGGCCCAGCCCAGGGGACGTGGGGGACGTGGGGGACGGAGGCCTGGCGGGCCCACGGCTCTCGGAGGCTGCTGCGTCTCGGGGTTCAAAGTGGCAGACACTCACTTTCTCGTTTCTTGTCCCAGAGAGCAGGCCTCAGCCCTCCTCCTCCTCCTCCTCCTCCTCCTCCTCCTCCTCCTCCTCCTCCCCTCCTCCTCCTCTTCTCTCCTCCCCCTAGGCATTCAGCTGGCGGCTCCCCCGAACTGCTGGCCGGTCCCGTCCAAACCCCACCTGCTCCAAACCCTAGTCCCGGCCAGCGAAGAGCCGCCCACCAGCACCCATGCCCGCTGAGCCTCCTGACACCCACACATCCGTCTGTCCGTCCGCCGAGATTCCAGACAGGGTCTCAGAGCAGAGAAGCAGTATTGGGGGCGCTCCCGCCCCGAGAGAAGCCCCTCACCCGCCCCCCCCACCCCCATTCCCTGCGTCACTGCCGGGACCCACTGGGGAGCTGGGGACAGGCGGGGTGGGGTTGTGGCTGAGTGAGGCCCCCGAGGGGGGTCCTTCGGCCTGACTCGGCCCTCGCCCTGGAGGAGGGGGACGGAAGCCCGCGGGGTGCAGAAGCCGAGAGGATGGAGAGAGGGAAGCGCTGCTGCCGGGGTCCCGAGGGCGGCAGAGGGGCGCACGGGGGTCCGCCGGGCTGCAGGTGACACGGGGGGCTCTAGACCCTCCTGGCCGGCTCTGTCCTGGGCTGGAACCTGTTGGGGAGAAAGTGGGCGGAGGAAGGAGATGGTCACGGTGAGCCGGGCCGGCCTGCAGACACCCGCCTTTGTCCGCTGCCCACCTCGTTCCGCCTGGCTTGGTTCGGGGGGGGGGGGGGCGTCCCTCGACTATGCCAGGCCAGGGGGTACTCCCAGCTCTGTGCTCAAGATCCCTCTGGCGGGCCTTGGTGGGATGGGGGGGTGGGGGGGGGCGAGCCAGGCAAGGGTTTTAGCCGCCCCGGGCCTGCCTCACCCTGTCCTGACCCACACAGCCCAGACCCCGCAGGGACTGACCACCACGCCCACTGTCCTGGAGAGGCACATCTGGGTTCTGACCTGCGGGGGCGTGGGGTCACGCCCAGACATCCCTGGTCTGGCCCAGGCCCCTACGCCCCCACTGTGGTCTGTCTCCCGGGCCCACCTCCCCAGTCCTCGAGGGAAACCAACCCCCCTACCACCCCCCAAGTCTGAACGTTCCACAGAATCGTGAACACAGCAACAAAGCAACGTGGGTGGGGGTCCCCGGGCTGTGCCTGAACATGCCCGGCACGTTTCTACCCCAGGCCCTTGGCACCTCCCGCTCCTCTGCCTGACGCCCTTTCCCTGCTGCAGCCCCTCAGCCTTCGCTCCAACCTGCAGCCCCCCACCACTTCCTGTCTCCAGCTCACTCCGCCTAGCATCGGGGGCGGCATCCCCCCACCCCCAGGCCCTGCTCCCGGCCGCCCCATCCGTTCAGAGCCAGCAGGGGCTGCCCACGGGCCCGGCTGCACGCTGCGCGCACGAAGGAATGAAGGTCACGGATGGACAGTCTTAATCACGTCTCCCCTCGCCCGGAGGGCTTCGGGGGGCCAGGCTGGGCCTGACTCATGCTCTCGGGGGACCCTCGCCTCCGCCCTGCCCGCTTCCATCACAGGCGCTGACAGATCCCGCTCCCGACAGCCGGAGCGACCTGCCCCCAATCCGGAAGGTTCCAGGAGACCAAGCGTGGTCTCAGCTCCCTGCTGGTCCCCCGCCGGGACCCGCCACCTCTGGCGCGTACGAGGAGCGTGAATTCCCATCCCACGGCAAGTGCGTGGGCAGCCGCAGGAAGGAGGCTAGACTGAAAGGGCGACCAAGGGGGACAGAGGGACCCGGGCGGCGGCAGGAACCACCCAGAGACCGGGCACGCTTCCTGGGGTCTCCGGGGTCCACACAGGCTGCACCCCCAGACCCCCTGCCAGAGTCTGCACTGAGAAAGGAAGGGGCTGGGCGAGAGGGGGGTGAGAAGGGGGCAGGGGGAGGGGTGCCGGCGAGAGACAGGCACCACTTGGGGCTCAGTGCCAAGCCCCCCGCTGCCCGGCTCCAGCTCCCAAGGGTCACCCTCCACCCGGCACCGCAGTCTCAGGGGCCAGCAGCACCCCCAGCTCCCCGGGCGCCCCCCGAGCGTGGACACTCACCTCTCGGGCCCGGCCTTCCTCCTCTCTGGGGGGTCCTCGGGGCCTCTCACGTTCCTGGATTGAGGGAAGAGGAGGTTCTTGAGCCTGCAGGCTCCAGGGACCCCCTGCCTCGGGCCTGGAGGCCACAACCCACCTTCACACCCCCTGCAAGGGGGATCCCTGTGCCCCGACTGCCCACCCACGGGGCCCCTGGAGGGTTTGGGCGCCCAAATCCCACTGAGCCGCCTTTGCCCTACGTCGCCCCGACTCACAACTTCCTCTCAAGCCTCTCGCGTGACCTGGGAGGCCTGGGGTGGGCGGGTGAGGCAGGGGGGCAGCAGGACAGCCGGCGTGCAGACCCCTGGGCGAGCATGGGGGCAGGCCTTCAAGCTCAAAGTGTCCCCCACCTGCTCTGATCACGGCCAGGAGCCGGCAGTGTCCGGCACACTCCCAGCCGGAGATGCCGTGCGGTGGACTCATCTGGATGATGGACAGCCCTCCCGGGGGCAGCCCCGGGGCACCCGCCACCACCCCCAGGTGGTGTACGTGAAGGGCGAGGGTCCTACCTGTCGCCGGTCGGGGTCCGGGCGCAGAAGCGTGAGCAGGCCGGGTCTCTGCGGTTGGCACAGGCGCAGCGCTGGGCCTGTGGGTTCCGCGGGTTCTGCGGGGACAGCCCCGAGGCCCTCCTGCCCCGGAAGCTGCCCCTGGAGCTGGACAGTCCGTAGGGCACGGTGCGTCTGCAAGGACAGCCGGATCAGGGCGGGGGGCGCTCGGGGGTGGGACATTCCCAGGTTGGGCCGGACCCTGGCCTGGCACATGGGGTCCCGGGCAGCCTCCGGAGCCCACTGGGGTGCGGGGAAGGGTGGGGGTCAGGGCTGCGTCCTCTCACTGCCCGGAGCCCAGGCCGTGTGCATTGCCCCAGCGGGGCCCAATGCCTTGGGGCCTCCCAGGGCTCTGCAGTCCGGGTCTGGATGCCACCGCCCGCCTGCCTCCCTTCTCGCAAGTGCGTGTGGGTCCCCGCCAACGTCCTGGGGTGGACTCGAGGCCTGTGAGCCTCCTGTGACCTGGCACCCATTGCGAGGCAGACCCCGACAGGGCCCCTCCCCCACCCCAGCCAGCCCTGAGCCGGCGTGGGTTCAGGAAGGTGGCGGGGTTGTTGTGGCCTCGCTCCTGGGTTCGCGGGGGCAGAAACAACAGCCCCACGGTGGTGACCAAGCAGGACGGGGGTCACAGTGTCGCTTGAGCCACCAGTGCTGAAGCCTGTTCGGATGTGCCTGGGTCAGGAACCGAGGCCTCCCGGGAGGGGTTCGAGGGCGCCCAGACCAGGCCCAGGACAGGCTCAAAGCTGCCGGTGCTGAGTCACTAGCAAGAGGGGAAACTTGTGTGGCCAAAAGTGACTTTTCCAATAAATCAGGGTCCCCCAACCGGCCCCGAAGATTAACCGCCGTGGTCTGGGCGAGCCCCAGGGGACGCCCGAATCAAGGCCTCACAGGGGGGTCCGACAGCGTCTCGTGATTTCAAAATTGAACCCAATTCAATTGAGTCTCATTTGCAACCCTCGCCGCAGAGCCTTTGGGGTGGCGAGGACGAGGTGGGGGTGTCCCGGGGTGACCTGAGAGTCACTTGCTCCCTGCAGCCGGGCTGGGCGGGACAGGTCTCGCCTCCCCGTCCGAGGGGCCCGGGGGGCGCAGAGCCTGGGGTGCCGGATCCAGAAATGAGCCAGTTCTATCCTGTTCGGAACCGAACCTTGACTCAAAGGCCCCGTCTTCCTCGGGAGCAGGACGCAAGGGCCAGGAAGAGAGAAACGGGTTCTATGCCGCGGCCGGGCAGGCTGACTGCATGTTTCCCGGCAGTAAGGCCACGTCCAGGCTCTAAGCGCCGGTGTCAAGCCTGGTCGCCCTTTTCTAGGTGAAAGTCACTCCCCCACGGGTCTCGACTCCCTTCCCGCCCCCAGAGCCCGGCAGGTCTGAAGTCACGTTGGGAGGTCCTGCGTTGGCCTGCCAGACAGTCCCTCCCACTGGACACTCCACGGCACGTGGCCACGGGAACTGCAACCCAGAGTGGATGGACAGAGCAAGGCCACGCGCTCCCGGTCACAGGCCATCCGCGGAGATGCCCTCATGTTCTGCTGTGAGTGGGCAGCTGATGAGTCTCAGAGACCGTCTAGACCCCAGAGCCCACCCGGACAGCTCAACGGATGGCCCTGCCTGCCTCTAGAACGAAGGTTTCCCTCCCCGACCCGCTGGTGAGGAAGGAGTCCCACCACTGGGCCTCAAGTCCAGCTGGAATTTCCACCCGGTGCTTGGTGCAGCCCCAAGGCTACGGGGCCACCCCAGGAGGGCTGGCGTCCTGAGGGCGGGGCGGGGCAGAGCTCTGGGGCCCCACTCATGGTGGTCTCGTGGCTTCCCTGTGGTGACTCTTGGGCTGTGATCACTGGGCCTGGGGCAGTGTGTCGGAGCTAAGCCCCCAGGGCCTTCCCACCTCCAACGGCCATGAGCCTCCTCGCCAAGGGCCCCGACTCTCTCCACCACGTCCGCCTGTCAGTCAGCGTCTGTCTGTCTCTTCTGAGAAATGGGGGAGAGAGAGGCCGGGCACTCAGTGCTCCCGGCTGGGACAGGTGAAGGAATGTGACCGACCCGCTTGGCTCCATGCGGGTTCCGGGGCCAGAGGCTGCCTGGGACCCCCCTGATGCTCTCTCTGCCCTTTCAACAGCTTCCTGGTGGGCAAAGGGTGCTAGGTGGCTGGTATGAGACCCCCCCCCCCCACTGCAAGGGAGGCTGGGAGGGCCACTGTCAGCAAATCCCCTGACCCCCCACCAGGCCAGACCTTCCACACTGCCACCTGCCGGATGGACTGGCCGTCCTGGTGGTCCTGGTGGAAGCTTCTTGAACCAAGCCTCGCCTCGCTCCAGGCACAGGAAGGCCCAGTGCTGGGCCCGTGATGATGAAGCCAAGGGCCCGTTAGGGCTCTGCTGAATCGGGTTTGATCTGGGCCCCGCCCGAGCCCAGAGAATCAAGCCACCGTCACCCTCACCCCCAGGGCTCCAGCCCCATGGGGGTCTCTGAGGCCCCACCCCTGTCAGAGGGCCCAGGGGTGTTTGAGCCCATGCTGCGAGCTATTTTCCACAACAAAGAGCCTTGTTTTGGCAAAATCTCTATACCATGGAAACGCTAAAATGCTTGAGAAGGAGGGAAAAGAAGGAAGATGTTAGGAAATGGAAAAACATCTGTTCTTGGACTGGAAGAATTGATATTGTCAAAATGACCATTCTGCCTAAACCACTGTATGATTTGATGCGATTTCAATCCAAATCCTAATGACATTCTTCAGGGACTTATAACCTCAACAATAAAATTTGTATGGAACCATAAAACCCCCTGAACATCCAGAGTCATGCTCAAAACTAAGAAATTGGGAGGTAGCTCATTGCCCAACTGGAAGCTGTACCGTAAAAGTACAGTTTTCAAAACAAAAGGCCCTGGAACAAGGACGGACGCTCTGACCAAGTGAATAGCCCAAGACAAGTCCCCAGACCTATGTTCAACTAATTTTCTACAAAGGGGCTAAGTACATGAGGGGTAATGATACTATCTTCAGCAAATGGTGATGGGAAGACGGGATAGCGCGAGGTAAAATGAGCCATACCTTGCACAAAAGTCAATTCAAAGTGGGTCAAAGACCTGGCGATCAGACAAGAATCCACAGAACACATTAAGGACAATATAGACAGCACGCTCAATTTGGACCTCAAAGGGTTTCAAACGAAATGGCGCCATTGGCAAAAGCCACAGAAGCAGTTTGAAAAGTTTCTGCAAGGCTAACGGACAAACTTGCAGGCTATCGAATGTAGCCTGCCCACAGGGCAGAGTCTGGCAAACTCCCCGTGGCGCACCCAATATGCCAAATACCAGTAACAATGATGGGTCTCATTCTCCTAAAGAGCCTTGAATATAATCTCAGGGCTAGGATGAAGGAGACGTTACTGGGGCCTGCTCGAGGCAATCGACGAATAACAGGATGATGAAATGAAATGAAATGAAACGTGAGAAAACACCAACCGAAAGGGGAAAGTGCTCACGGCAGAGGAAGGCTTAACATCCAAAATTATATAAAACGCTCACAAGTTTACTTAAAGAACCCACAAACCCATCAGGAAACGGGGAGAGGAAGTGCACAGACTCTTCTCTGGAGACAGATGACGGCCAGTGCACACACACGAGTGCTCTCATCACTCGTCTCGGAAAACCCAAGTGCAGACGACAGTAACGCCAGCTCGCGCCAAAGCTCAACTCAAACAAACAAACAAACAACAAACAAAAGCCGGAACCGTCTGTGTTAGTGGCGTTCTGGGAAGGAACTTCCACAGCTGTGGGGCTGCTGTCTGGCCCAGCGCCCATGGAACAGTCTAGAGCTTTCTCAGAAAAGGCAGACGGGGCAGCCCAGGGCCCAGCAGGCCCAGGACGCAAACACCCACTCCAAACGATGTGCCCTCACTCCCCGCGTCCCTCAGCGCAGTCGCTGGGTGGACGGCGCAGGGACAGTCGAATCACAGCGGAATACTACGCGGTCGCGAGGAATGACGAAAGACTGCGGTTTGCTGCAGGTCGGGGAAATGGAGGACGTCGTGTTAAGTGAGATGAGTCGGCAGAGGGCAACTACCACCAGACCTGGCTTATTTGTGGCACGAGGAACACGGGGACAGGGGATGCATGGACTCAAGGCGGGCACTCAGACGGCCCTTGGCCCTAGTCACAGAGGGTGGGGGGTGGAGGGTGGGGTGGGGGAGGGGAAGAAAATGGGGGGGGGAGAAGAGACTCGGGGAGTGACGGGCAGGGCCTGGGGGGTACTGGGGGCTTGGGGGCAGTAATGGGGGCCCAGGGTGGTAACAGGGGACCCCGGGGAGGTAATGGGGGTTCCAGGAGGTGACAGAGGCCCCGGGAGATGATGGGACTCCCGAGAGGTGACAGGAACCCTGGGAGGTGACGGGGACCCCAGGAGGTGACGGGGACCCCGGGAGGTGATGGGGCCCCCGGAAGAAGCGAGGGCCTAGAGCGTCTCACTGCTCAGAATGTCCCTGTCCTCTTGACTGGAGAAAGTGCCCTTAGAGCACGGGTCCCAGACGCAACCATGGGGCTTGAACACGTGCCGGTCAAGGACCGGCTGGGGTAGGTGGGAGCCCAGAGACGCAGGAAGACATGGGTGCTGGGCACGCAGCTCGATGGGCCACGCCGGCCGTGGCGCCTGAATATGCTGTTTAGAAAAGGGAGAAGCACCTGAAAACCCAGGGGAGAGCTCACGGCCTCTGGGTAACCCCCCAAAGGCGACCAGGTGGGCACCACCACGGGCCCAGGGATGGGGGGCCTGGGCCACGTGGCTGCAGGCCCCAGGTCCCGGGAGGTGCTGACCCCCACTGAGCCTCCTGCCTCGGCCTGTCACTCCCCCAGCCTAGAAGGACCCTCCGGGCACAGAGCCGGAGGACACGACGTGCTCCCAGGTCGACGGGTCCAGGGACGGTGCTCGGGGCGGCCAGCCTCACTCCACACGTGCTGGGCAGGGCACTAAAGGCGAGGCGGAGGCAGCAGAAGGCCAGCGCAGGCTTACAGGTGGCGGAAGCTTCTAGAGCCCAGGCTGGTGTGGGTTGGCGGTCTCCCAGCTTTCCCTGGGGACTGACCCTCCCTCCCCTGGACCATCAGGTGACCCACCCTGGTCCACCAGCTCCTCTCTCCAGAGACCACCG